ACTCGGGTCTTCTATAAGAGCAGCATGTACTCTTAACCTCTGACTTTCCTTCTTTGCCTTTTGAACTATTCTGATTTCTGTCCTTTCCCATTTAGGTACCATCCCAGATGTCCCACACATCAGGAAAGCATTTATTGGCCAGAATGTGGCTATGTGACTCCACTGGGAAATAGTCTTTTCCCAGAATATGCTAATGGACTCGTTAGGGTTTTGTTAGTAAGGAAATAGAAGAGGGTAGGTATTGTAGTTGGTTGCCAGGCTCTGCGCAGGAAGGGAAGGAAGCTGCGTCAATGGGTCTCATGTTTGTGTCTAGGAAGAATGGGGCTGGTAAGGACATTTGGCTCCTAGATGGAGGCCAGAGGACTGTGACATTCAGTGTCCCTGACTGTCTGCCTGGGATTCTACTCTTTGTGTTCCACAGCTTCTCTGAGTCAGCCCTTCTGTACTCTTTTTCCAGTGGTTCCCACTCTGGTTTTGTCTGAGACACCTTGGTCCCTCGGTCTCTCCATCCCACTAACCTCTTCCCTGTTTAGTTTCTTATATGTCCTTCTCATAGTTTCTTTCGTTTGTTTTGATGTTTTGAGACAGGGTCTCACCATGTAGCCAAAGTGGCCTGGAACTTGCTATGTGACCCAGGCTGGCCTTGAGCCTGCAGTCCTCCTGCCTCTGCCTCCCAAGTGCTGGAATTGCAGTTGTAGGTCACTGTGTCACTCTCTGCAGTTGCTTTGTGTAAATACAAGCAAACTTGAGTGTATGTTCTTATTCTTCACTGATTACAGTATTTTTTAAAAAACTGTGTGGATAGGTGTGTGGATGAGTGTATGTGTGGGTGTGTGTATACCGTGTGTGTGCAGTGCCCAGAGAGGCCAGAAGCAGGCATTAGAGCCTCTGGAGCTAGAGTTATAGACATTTGTGAGATGCCCAATGTGGGTGATGAGAAATGAACTTGGGTCCTCTGGAAGAGCAGTATATTAGTTACGTTTCTGCTGTGATAAAATATTAGGACCTCTGCTGGACATGGTGATGCATACCTTTAATCCCAGCACTCAGGAGGCAGAGGCAGGCGGATCTCTGTGAGTTCGAGGCTAGCCTGGTCTACACAGTTCCAGGCCAGCTGGGGCTACTGGGAGACCCTGTCTCAAAAAACCAAAAAAAAAATATGTATACACACACACACACACACACATATATTAATATTACGAACAAAGGCAGCTTAAGGAAGAAAGGTTTTGTTTTTTGTTTTCTTTTTTCTTGCAGAGGGATGAGAGTATATCATGGCAGGGAAGCATGGAAGCAAGTGGCAGGAACAGGAAGCTGAGAATGCACATTTTCAATGGCACTCATGAAGCAAGAGCCAGCTGGAAATGGGGAAAGGCTGTGAACTCTCAAAGCCCCACCCCCAGTAACATGCATCCTCTAGCAAGGCTCCATCTCCTAAAGATTCCATGACCTCATCAAATAGCACCACCAACTGTGACCAGGTGTTCAAATACTTGAGCCTATGGGGGACATTTCTCATTCAAACCACCACAAGCAGCAAGCTCTCTTAACTGCTGAGCCATCTCGCCAGCCCCACAGTATTTCTTTTTATGACTGCTGTTACAAATTTGGTAGCTTAATTTATTCTCTCACAGTTCTGAGGTCAGAGTCCAAATCAGATTTATTGGGACTAAAATCAAAGTGTCCAGGAAGAGCAGATGCTAAAGGGGAGAATCTGTCCCTCTTCTCTTCCAGAATCTGATAACCTCAGGCATTCGTTGGCTTGTGGCCACACCTCTAAGTCTGCACCTCTTTGGTCACGTTGCCTTCTCTTTTTTCTATAGTGACATGCCCCTCTGTTAAGGATAACTATGGTGATGTTTAGGGCCAGTTCTGATGACCCAGGGTCATTTCCCATTTCAAGATCCTTGTCTTCTTATCTTTTGTCCTAGAAGATAATACTCATGGATTCCAAGGATTAAGACAACGATATCTTTTGGGGACTGTAGACCACAATTACTAAAGCTGATATGTGGTATTGGGAACATTGCATTTTCACATAACAGGTGTTTGACTGTAGCATGTCAGTTTGTAGAGTACCTCTATTATTCTGTTTTTTCCCCTATATAATCTGTATTACAGTGTAGTGTTCTTTGCTGTGGATGTGTCTTAGTTTTACATTATCTTCTGGAGGTGCCCATCTCCTTGTTTTCTAACACTTTGTCACTCAGATGTATGCATACTTTTTTATTTGTTTGTTTTTTTATTCTGGGCATCCTATAAGCGTGAGCAGGCAAGTTTCTGATATTTTCATGGCTGACTAGTTTATGTTCTTGATACTTGCATTGGTTACTTTTGCAATCTTGTGACAAAACATCTGACAGATATACTTACAGGTGGAAAGATTCATTGCCTCACAGCTTCAGAGAGGTTTAGTAGTCATGATAGGGAAGGCATGGCACAAAGCATGTGCACTGTGGCCAGTCACATGACTACAGACCAGGAAGCAGAGAAATCAACAGGAACCAGGGGCCTTAAAGGCCCACCCCTAATAACCCATGAGCTGATGGACTATATTCCAGATTCAAACCATGACAATGCCTTTTATTGGGGTGGGAGGGTTGTTTTGAGAAAGGGTCTTACTATGTATCTGTAATTGACCTGGAACTCGCTTTGTAGACCAGGCTGGCCTCAAACTCACAGAGATCTGCCTGCCTCTGCCTCTCCCAGGGCTGGAGAGATGGCTCAGTGGTTAATAGCACTGGCTGCTCTTGCAGAGGACCTGGGTTTGTTTCCCAGCTCCACATATCAGTTAACAACTTAATATAACTCCAGTTCCAGGGAATCTGACACCCTCTTCTGGCTTCTGAGGGCATTGCATACACAGGTGAACTTACATGCAGGCAAAACACACAAATTAAAAAAAATTTTTTAAAGGTATGTACCATCACACCTGGTATTGGCTTTCTATTTTTATTTGTGGTGTAGTTTCTCTTTTATGTACCGTTATTTTATGCTTAAAGTTGATTAATTTTAAGAAAAATGTTAAAGGCCAGGTAGATGTGGTGATACACACCTTTAATGCCAGCACTCAGGAGGCAGAGGCAAGTGGATCTATGTGAATTCAAGGCCAGCCTGGTCTACATAGCAAGTTCCAGGCCAATCAGGCTACATATTGAGACCTTGTCTCAAAAAAAAAAAAAGCCACACGTGGTACTACATGCATGCCTTTAATCCCAGCACTCAAGAGGCAGAGGCAGGTGAATCTCTGGGAGACTGAGGCCAACCTGGTCTACATGGCGAGTTCTGGGCCAACTGGAGCTACAGGAAGACCCTGTCTCAAAATAAGTAGTAATATTAGTGTGGTTAGTGTGGAAAACATTAAGATGGTCCCTGTGCATGACTGGCTATGCAGACTATCCACTTAAGTTGCTTAGGATAAACCTTTAATATAATACCTCACAGTTTCTGGCAGCTGCCAGAGCATGAACTAGTGAGAACTTAGTTATGTGGAAAAGGAGACTAAATTCTCAGTCCTCCTGCCTCTGCCTCTTGAGTGCTGGGATTACAGCTGTGCACTACCACACTCATTCCAAAGACCATTTTAGCAGCATAACCCAATACAGTGATCACACCTAGCAAAATTAATTTCTCTCACTCCCCCACATACATGTGTGTATGGGTGCCAGAGGTCAATGTCAGGTGATCTCCTCTATTGCTCTCCACCTCATATTTTTGAGACAGGGTCTCTCATAGAACCTGGACTTAACATTTCATAACTAGACTATTATACTAATATATTACTAGACTGGCTGTCCAATGAGCTCCATGGATCCTCTTCTCTCCACCTCCCAGTGCTGGGGCTATAGATTTGCTCTACCATGCCTAGCTTTTTTTATGTGGGTGCTGGGGATCTGAATTCAGGTCCTTATGATTGCACAGCAAGCACTTTACCCAGTGAGCCCACAAAATTAGTTTCTTTTTTCTTTCTTTTTTTTTCCCTCTTTTTGAGACAGCTGGCCTGGAACTCACTATTTAGACCAGGCTGGTCTTGAACCCACAGAGATCCACCTGCCTCTGCCTCCTGAGTGCTGGGATTAAAGGCATGTACTACCATGCCCGGCCCAAAATTAGTTTCTTATATTTATCTAATACGTGGTTTATTTCTGTTTTCTCCAGTTGTCTTAAAATGGCTTTTTGCTGAATAGTTTATTGCAGATGAGATCTAGATCCTTCATTTGGGTTAATGTTTTATTTTTCTGCGACAGAGTCACATGTAGCCCAGGTTGTCTCAAACTTACTATGTAGCCAGGGATGACCTAGACCTTCTGACTCTATTGCCTCCATCTCTAGAGTGCTGGGCATGCATGACCACGCCTGACTTATGCAGTGCTGGAAATCAAACTCAGGACTTTGTTTATGCTAGGTAAACATTCTAGTAATGGAGCTATATCCCCAGGCTTTATTTTTTCCCCTCAGTTTTTGACAGGTCTTGCTATGCAACCCAGGCTAGACTCAAACACAGTCTCCCTAGTGCTGGAATTACAAGTGTCAGCCACCATGCCCAACTCTAGATAAATGTTGCTATGTCAGCACATGTACCTGTACCTACTAGGTTATGGAAGAATCCATGTTACATGGATATGGAAGAAACATTTCACTTGACTGGGCTCTCTCACATGCCATGTGTCCAGTTTTATAAACTCAGGTTCCTGCACAGGAACACACAGAGGGTTGGGGAGTGGCAGTGGGCAGCCATCAGCAGAACCTAGCCAGGAGAAGGGGAGGCCAGATGGGAGGAGAAGTGGAAGGGAGATGGCTGATGCTAGAAGGTTAGCAGGTGGAGCCCCAAATAGAATGTGAGTATGAGAGAGTGAGCCTGGGGGGTGGGGAGGTTGAGCTTAGAGCCCAGAATCCTTGGGTGGAGTAGCCTCAGGGCAGGATACATGGGGGCTTGTGGCTTTCAACTAGTATCCCTGCCATGCTGCAGGTTCCCACTGAAGGATGGTCCCAGGCTGCAGGCCTGGCTGCGCCACATGGGATGTGAGCACTGGATACCCAGCTGCCATGCAGTGTGCACTTTATACCCTCCTGCTTCCAGTGGTGCTGGGGAGTTCGCTACCTGCGGCCAGATGCAATGCCCTCCATCTTCTCCAGGGCATCACCTGACAAGGTGAGCAGGAGGAGGTCCCCTATGGCAGCTGATCCTTACCTGGGAAATTACTATGGAGTCTGGACCCCAATCTCCCCTCCACCCACCAAAGAAAATCCTTCCTTAAGTCTATCCCTCAGTCTTCCCCTTCTGAGGGAGGTCTCCCTTGGAAACTGGGCCCAGCTCTTCCACCTATAGGAATACATGGCCCTTGGAGAATTGGTCTAGTGCCTCACTCCCACCCCTGTCTTCCAGAGTCAGCAGAGGACCAGGAGCACTAAGAAGCCCATGGCGCTGCTACTTCCCTCCCAGCAAGAAGCTACATCTGTGCCCTGGGAGCCAGCCTGTGCAGCCTCCAGTGCACTTTGTGGTGTTGGGACCCACGTCTGGAGGCCCTGAGGCTGGAACCGCCATGCTCCTGACCCCCTTGTCCCCTCCATCTACTTCTGCAGGCCTGAGGCCTGGAGACCCGGCCCAGCACCCACAAGCCAGGCTGGGGGCCACCCTTGGGGTACTGCAGCAGCGGGTTTTCAGGCTGCAGAGGCACCAGGAGCAGCACCAGGCATAGCTGCAGGCTCTGGAACAGCTGGCACAGCAGCTGTGCAGAGAGAGCCTGCTGGCCCGGGCACTCAGAGGGCCACCATGCCTAGTGAGTGCTGCTGGGACTGGTGCACAGGGCACCTGCTTTACCTTCAGGGTATCTGCAATAAACCAGGGTCCAGTGTTTTAAGGCCTTTCCATGCCTTCAGTGGCTGCAGATGTAAATTCAGCAGTAGAGTCCTTGCCTAGCATGGGCCAGACCCTGGTTTCCAATTTCAGCACCACCAAAACAAACAATAAAAAACTGTGGGCCTGTAATCCTAGCACTTAGAAGGCAGAGGCAGGAGGAACAGCAAGTTCAAGGCCAGTCTGGATTCAGAGGAAGTTCAAGGCTGGCCTAGGCTACATGAGACCCTGTCTCAAACAACAGAAATCTGCCAGTTGCTGGCACCCATTGGTCAGAGCTGACTGATGGCTGCTCCACCTATGAATAATTAGGACACGTTTAGGGAGGTCTTTCTGTGGCAGACACAGTAACTTACTGAAAGCTGTGCTCTTGTCTCATTTTCCAGATATAAAAGCTAAGGCACAGGGTCTTAACTTGCCCAAAGGCAGGCATCAAACAGCAGAGCCAGGAATCAAAACCCTGGCATGTAGCTCCAGAGGGACCAGTCTCCTGTTGGGGAATCCCATACTGGGCTGCTGTAGAGCTTGAGTCTATAGCCCCTCCACAAGTCCTTCCAGGCTTTCCAGATCTAAGTAGCCCTTGTATTTTATTGCTGGGTTGTTGTAGTTTTGGGAGGGAGGAAGAATAAAAAAGAAGCTTGACCACATCTTTCCTCTGCTTAAGACCCCATGGTGGGGGCTGGGACTGTACCTCAGTGATAAAGCATGTGCCTACCATGCCCTAGGTTCAACCCCTAGTACCACCAGAAGAATAAGAATCAAGAAATACATTACCAGTCATGGTGGCGCACACCTTTAATCTCAGCACTTGGGAGTCAGAGGCAGGCTGATCTCTGTTCCATGCCAGCTGGGACTACAGGGAGATGACCCTGTTTCAAAAAGACAAAAAAAAAAGGAAAAAAAAAGAAATACAAAGACCCTATGGTGGATCTTGAGGTCCTAGACTCACAGAAAGGGAGTTCAGAAAGGGGCCCCCATCATACCTCTAGTGGAGTGTCTCCAATCGACAGTCCTTATGTTGGACATACCCCACAGATAAGATTGTTTGGTCTTGACAGTGCTTTAAAATTATTTGTTTCTGGTGGCTCAGTAGATACAGCAGCACTGAGTTCATTTTCCCAGGTCATAGTAGTCAGCAGGAGCTGCCAGTGTGGTTGTGCTCGGGGCTTTGAGACTGTGGCTTGGGTATCTGTAAGACAGTGGGGCTGGGACAGAGCTCAGACTGAGGCCTGGGGCTCTCTGGAGTTGCCAGGGTCCCTGGGCTGACAGTGTCTCTCTCTGGCTGTCTCCATTTAATCCCTCCACCCACTCATTCATCCCATCTCACCATCTCCTCCACATTCACTGTCTTGCTGTCTTCATCTTGCTGTCCCCTCACCTGTCTCCCCATCTCCCCACATCTCTTCATCTACCATCTTTGTGTCCTTGTCTCTCCATGTCTGCCTCCCCCCATCCCCTGGTCTCCTATGTGCTGTCCTCTCCATGAATGCCTGATCTGTTTTCATTGTATGTTTGTGTGTCCCTCTGTCTCCCTTGTGTTCCCTGTTTCTACTGCTTTTTACCTGGAATGGCCCAGCTGCTTGGATCCAAGGAATCTCAAACCTTCACCATCATCTGTGGAGATCCTGGTATAACCATGGTCCTTGCCCAAGGTCCTGTACCTGCTACCCTGGATGCCAAGCCTGAGCCCCTGGATACCAGGATCAGAGGGACAATGTCATGGGACAGGGATAGAAGATGGAAGAAGAGTGATCATCACACCTGACATTTACCAGGCCCTGTTACCCACACCTGGGTCCCACCCCCCTCTGAGGGACCCCTGGAACCTTATTTGTGACTTTGGCCTAAGTTACCTCATCTCCTGGGATGCTCATCCCCTGGAGTGCCCAACCTCTGCTATCCCCAGCTCAAACCTTTGCAGTCTGAGCAACAAGCTCTGAGCAGAACAAGAGTGACTTGTTCAAGGAGTGCTGTGCCTGGTTCTGAAGAGCCCCTGGTGTACTGTGTCAAGCTTGCTGTGGGGTTCGGGACACAGCAGTGAACACAGCCAAAAACCACCCCTGATTTGTACTCATGCCTGCTTGAGTAGAAAGCAAACTAGTAAACTAATAAACCAGATCACCTCAGATCCTGACAAGTGCTCTAAAGACTGAAAAGCTATGATTGACAGAAGGGGTCTATGGCACCTGGATAGGGGGAGGGAGCTCACCCAGAGGGCATGTGGGCTAGTGCCCCAGTGCAAGAATAGCTCTACAGAGGCCCTGACATCTGGGATGTCAGTGTAAGGAAGGCTGTATTGCTCTGGAGAAAACCAAAGGGGATCAGGTACAATTTTAGTAGGGAGAGCAAAGAAGGTGTCACTGAAAACGTAACATGGGTAAAATATCCAGTGGGGCGTGAGGAACCATGTAGGTGTAGAAGTAACAGCAGGAATGCAGGTGTGGCTGCAGTGGAGTGAACAAAGTAAGAAGAGGTGAGGCTGGAGAGAGGACCAGCTGGTTCATGTAGGCCCATCATGGGCTATGATGGACAGCACTGGCAGCTTTTTGGGTGATGGCCATGCAGGGGAATTGAGGTAGGTTTTGCTATGTATTTCCAGGCTAGCCTTGAACTTAAGGCCTTCTTATTCAGCCTCCTAAGTGCTGTGCCATGCTGGTTATCTGGGATAATGTCCCACAAGCAGATGTGTCAGAGTTAAGGAGGGTCCTGATGTGGTCCCTGCGGCTGCATGTAAGAGGGCCAATTCAGGTCAGGTGGAGGGCAGAGAACAGAGCAGACTGTTGCCATGGTCCAGGAATGGGATGAGCAAGTATGAGCCTGGATAGAGGCTGGGAGAGAGGTGGAAGTGGATAAAATTCTGGAACTATCTTAGGGAACTTGGTCCATTAGAAGGAAGAGTAGGCAGTCTCCCAGGCCAGGGTGATTTGGGGGTAGAGCAGGCAAGGCCAGCCTCTGTGTGAGGCAGAGGTGGTCCTGGGCTCCAGAGATACACATTTCTCGAGGGGGGCATCCACCGGCAGGTCTGCTGCAGCAACGGGGCCTTAAGAGCCAGGGTCGACGGATGCCTGGTTGCAAGCTTCAAAACCGTCACTTACTTGCTGTGCCCCTATGAGCAAATGGCTCATTAACCTCTCTCTGGTCCTGGGTGTGTGGTAAGTGATAAGGATGACACAAAATCGCCCCTCTGAGATCCCTTATATGGGGCGAGCACATAAGGAGTGAGGAATGCGATTCCAGAGGGTGGAAACACCCAGCATCGGACTCGGACCACGGTGAACCGCCCTGGTTTGCTGGTCGGCTGGAGACACCTGCTTTGCTAACCGTCTCTTTTCAGCCTTCGTCTCTGCTTCATCTCTCTTTAGTCCCGGTCACATCCTCGGGGGCGGTCTCTCCTTCCTCTCGAGGTTCTGGGTGTCTAGCCCCTTCCCTCTACCTCCAGGTCTCCATCAAGGTTAGCTGTCTCCCAGCATCTCCTCCCCCGCGCCTTGACTCGGCGCATGCGCCGCCCGTGCCCCTCCCTCTCTACCCCCATCCCCCTGCTGGCGTCTGGGCCTCGTCCCCTTCTCTCTGTCTCCCTTTCCTCCCCTATCACTTCCCCCGACACCGACACCCCATAACTCCCTCGGTCTCCTCAGTCCCAGCCTCGCTCTCCAACCGGCGCCACCCGAGGTAAGATGGGAGGCCGGTGAGAAGGGGAGGGGCGAAGCATCCTGCATCCCTAGATAAACAAACCCCGGGAGGGGGCGGCGGAGACCCAGGGGCCTGGCGCAGGAGGAGAAGAATGGGGGCTGGGCCTGAGGGAGGTGGCAGGCGCGGGGCACGTATCCCCAGGCCCTCTGATGGGTAACCTGTGGCCCTATGGTTGCTCGAGATCTAGAATTGGGGACACGGGAACCACCTGGGGTTCTGAGACCTGAAGGCTTGGACCCTAGAGATTGTGAGGCGCCCTCTCTAGCTGGTCTCTGTCTCCAGGGTTTGTCTGAAGGCCGCCCCCCAACTGTCCCGCCCCCTGAGGGCTACTGAGGACCATGACTAAGACAGATCCTGCCCCAATGGCCCCTCCGCCCCGAGGGGAGGAGGAAGAGGAAGAGGAAGAGGATGAGCCCGTCCCTGAAGCCCCCAGCCCCACCCAGGAGCGCCGGCAGAAGCCTGTTGTGCACCCCTCAGCACCTGCTCCCCTCCCCAAGGACTACGGTAACCATTCCCCCTACCCTGGAATCTGGCCTGGAGCCTGGGTTGGTGATATTCAGGCCGAGTTGTGTTGGTGGTGATGGTGGAGGGCATGCTGAAGATGGTCCACAGGAGTCTTAGAGGCAGAGTCCTTTAGACCTCTCCCCTTCGTTAATTATATTCACCTATTGGAGAATTAGAATAATCCTAGCTTCCTGTTCATGCACATCATTCAGTCATTTAGTCATTCAACAAACATTATTTGGAAGCCACTATGAACCTAGCTGTATGCTAGGAAATGGGGCCACAGGACAGAACAAGGTTCTCCCAAGGCTTTGCTGTGAGAGAACTCCCAGGCTTCAATCACAGCCACACAGATATATAATTACAGGACAGGATGAGGTTGTGCTTACCAAGAACAGAATACTGCAAGACCTTTTAAAGACAAGGTTGCCCTTAGGAGATAACATCTGGGGAAGATTCTAGGACCAGACGGGCTTGAGAGAAGTTTGCAGGAGAATTAAGCACAGGACTGAAGGATCTGAGGCAGGAGGGTATGAGGTAGGAGCTGAGGATGGCCAGAGAAACAAAGTGTCTAATCATAGACCCCCCAGTTCTGTACTGTGATGAGACTTCATGATTCCTGCTCTGAGAGACCAAAGTGTGAACAGATAAATAATCATAGGAGTTCAGAATGGAATGAATGCTGTGAAAGAAAAGTAGAGACATAATAGATGACCACGTCCAGCATGAGACAGTAGTGGTAAGGGTGGGTCTTTCTGATGAGGTGCCTTCAGCCTGAGGCCTGAAAAAGGAGGAGCAATCAACCAGCCATAGGTGAGCATGAGAAAGGGTTCCACCCAGAGAAAAGCAAGTGCAAAGGACCTGAGGCAGAAGGAAAGACCACAAAACTGCATTGAGGGAGTAATCAGAATGGAGGTGAAATATTAACCTGGGCCAGATCTGGAAGTGACTTAAGAGCCACACCAAGGACTTTGTGTATATTCTAGATGTGAGTGGGAGAGAGCCGTGTGTGTGTGTGTGTGTGTGTGTGTGTGTGTGTGTGTGTGTGTGTGTACAGGGTATTCAGAAAGAAGGGATTAGGCATGGTGGCATATGCCTTTAATCCCAGCAGAGGCAGGTAGATCTCTGTGAGACTGAGGCCAACCTGGTCTACATAGTAAGTTCCAGGTCAGCTGGGGCTACAGGGAGACAAGCAAAAAAGAAGAGGATGAGGAGGAGGAAGAAGAGGAGGAGGAAGAGGAAGAGGAGGAGGAGGTTTGACAGTCTTTTATTATATTTTTATTTATTATGCATACATGAGCGCCATTGAATGTGTGTAGTCAGAGGATAACTTGAAAAGGTTGGTTCTCTTCTACCTCGCGAGTCCAAAGGATCAAACTCAAGTCAATAAGTTTGGTGGCAAGCTAGTACCTTTATCAGCTGAACCATCTCACCGGCTCTTGATTGACAGTCTTAAAAGCTCTTCCTGGCTTCCGGTTAGACAGAGATGGAGCCCACCAGAGCTGAATGTAGGAGAGAGATTTTAGAAGATGCTGGCTGGGAATTCCCAGCAGCTGTGAGGTTCAGAAAACTAGGCATTAGGTTTAGAGAGTTGGCACTGTGGGGTGGGGCGGGAAGAATGGGATCTGTGGATGTGTCACCCACCAGAAGTGGGTCAGAGGGATGAACTTCAGTCTAATGGAAAAAAGAGAAGAATATGGGGCTAGGGAGATGACTCAGTTGATAAAGTCCTTGCTGTTCAAGCATGAGGACTTGAGTTCAGATCCCCAGCACCCTCGTAAAAAGCTGGGCATGGCTGCATCCACCTGTAATCTCAGTGCTGAGGAGGAACAGAGACAGGAGGATCCCTGGGGTTCACTGACCAGCCAGTCTAGTCAATCAGTGAGCGCCAAGTTCATTGAGAGACACTGTCTGAAAAATAAGGTGGATAGCCTGGTAAGGTGCATGCCTTTAATCTCAGCACTTGGGAGGTAGAGACAGGCAGATCTCTGTGAGTTCCAGGCTAGCTAAATCCTGCTTGTAGAACAAGGGATGGAAATATGGTTTAGGCCAGAGAGAAAGCTGAAGGCGATATATATTGTTCAGTTCATGAATTCAGCAGGCGTCCAGTGAGCCCCTCCTTGCATGCTGTATGCATGCTGTGTGCAGTAGGTATACAGTAGGCATACCTGGCTGTGGGAATAGAGGCATAAGGAAGGCAGGCAAGAAACACTGTGTGTACATGTCAGTGTGAGTGACTAGTGAGAATGGAGGAGAAAGAAAGAGGGAAGAGAAGGGCTTGGGGTATGGTTCAGTGGCAGAGAGGAGGAGAGGGAGAGATACAGACACACAGAGAAAGAAAGGAGGAAAAAATGTTAGGAAGGAACCAACACATTCTGTTAAGTAGGGATATGTGTTATGATAAGACAAATTAGGCAGCATATCCAGAAGGGCAGGGGTACTGATTTAGACTGGTGTGAGGAGGCCTCTCTGGAGGTGACATCTGAGCCAAGACTTGCAAAGCTTTGTGAAGGTCTGAGGGAGGACCGCCCACTTTGGGAAAACAGCAAGTGCAAAGAGACAAGAATTTGCCTGGCACATTGGAAAGACAGAAGGTCGTTGTGGCTGGAGGGGACTGAGGGAGAGGGCAGAGAAGCGAGGGGGCCAGATTGTGCAGGGCCTTGTGCGCCATGGGGAGGACTTTGGACAGTATTCTGAATAGGATGGGAGCCAGGGGAGGGTTGTGAGCCAAGGAAGGCTGTGATGCGAGGGGATGAGGAGGGATTCCTGATTCGCTGTCTTGGAGCACTTCTCTGGGCTGTGTGGGGTCTGATCTGCATTTACTCATCCATTCACCATATAGTGAGTTCCTGCTGAGTGCCACAGAGAACACTTACCAGCATCTAATGTGGGGAGATAGAAGTGTCTCCGGGCCCTATCCTGGCTGGCCACAGGTTGGAGCCTGTTTATTCATGGCTGCATTTTATACGGGTGACACAGAATTTGAAATTTTTCAGTTTTCTTAAGAACTAAGACTTCTGGTATTTTGATTTAAAAAAAATTACCCCCTCTGGAAACTTGACCAAACTGTGTCCTTACTTTTTATGCGAGCATGCTAAGCAAACACTCTATCACTGAGCTAATCCCCAGCATCTAGGTTTTTTTTTTTAAACTTGTTTCCTCTTAATATGCTGTATGAAACCATCATTTTATACAAAGAATATACACCAATAAAAGACTTAAAGTTCTAAAAATATTTTTTTTATTTTATGTGTATGAGTATATTGCCTGCACATACATAAGTGCATCCATGTCATGCAGTGCCCATTGGGGTCAGAAGAGGGTGTCAAATCCCCAGGAATTGGAATTATGGATGGTTGTTAGCTGCCATGTGGGTGCTTTGATTGAACCCAGGTCCTCTGCAAGAACAGCCAGTGCTCTTAACCACTGAGCCATCTCTCCACTCCCAAGTTTAACCTCCAGGCTTAAAGTTTTTTTAATTAAAAAAAAAAAAAGTTGCCAGGCATGGTGGAGCACACCTTTTATCCCAGCACTTGGGAGGCAGAAGCAGGTGGATCTCTGTGAGTTCAAGGCCAGTCTGGTCTGCATAGCAAGTTCCAGGCCAGCTGGGGCTACAGGGAGACCCTATCTCAAAAAAGACCAAACAAAAACAAAAGCAAAAGAAATCCACCACCATCAACAACAACAAATTTTAAATTATGTGTATGTCTGTGTATGGGTATGTGCACATGAATGTGGGTGTCTACAGAGGGCAGAGGTGTCTGATCTTCTTCAGTTACAGGCAGTTATGAGCTGCCCAGTGTGGGTGCTGGGAACACTCCAGACCTCTGCAAGAGTACTAAACACAAGCACACTTAACAGCTGAACTCTTTCCAGCACTCCAGCATCTACTTTGTAGAGACAGGGTTGTATGTAGATCAGCCTGACCTGGTACTCTCCTGGTGTTGGCCTCAAACTTCTAATTCTCCTGCCTTTTCCTCCCAAGTGTTGAGATTATAGGCATGTGCTACCACACCCAACTCACTATGTCTGCCAGGACAACTGGGGGCCAGGGCCTTAGCAGCACCCTTGAATGTTCAGATAGGCAGGTGGAGAACCCCAACCACTCCCTTTTCAAGGTGCAGAGTTTGTTGCTTATAGAAATTGCCTGACCATCCAATTTCTCAGGATACTGGATATCCAGATACTTGTTTGTTTGTTTAGTGAGCCCTCTTGATTTTGCACCCTTGGCTGGCCATCCAGAAAATACCTATGGGTTGACTTTGGCCCTTGTGCCACCATTTTGAATCCATGCTTTGGAGGTTCTTTAAAGTAAAGACCTAGAGCCCCCTTCTGGCAGGATGGAAAGGGGGCTAGGCTTGCCTATGACTTTGGACTTCTCCTTACCCCAGCCTTCACCTTCTTCGATCCCAACGACCCAGCGTGCCAGGAGATTCTGTTTGACCCACAGACCACCATCCCAGAGCTGTTTGCCATCGTCCGCCAATGGGTACCCCAAGTCCAACACAAGATAGACGTCATTGGCAATGAGGTAGGAACACTTAAAGAAGCTGAAGAGGGAGGGGAAGTGGTTCCCTCATTTGGGTAATCCTCCTTGTCCCCTGGTACTCACAGATTCTGCGTCGTGGCTGCCATGTGAACGATCGGGATGGGCTCACCGACATGACACTACTCCATTATGCGTGCAAGGCTGGGGCCCACGGAGTCGGTGAGGGCCCAGACCCCAAAACCTAGGCCCCCAGCCCTGACTCCTTCAAAGCCCCCAGACTCAGGACCTAAGATCCTATCTGGGGCCTGCTGCCCAAGAGCCCAAGTGGTGGCCCAAGGCCCCTGGGGAGCCTTCCCCATGCGCTGGATGCATGCATTGGAGGATGGCTTCCTAGCGGACCCTGGTTCTGTCGCAGGGGACCCCGCGGCGGCCGTGCGCCTCTCACAGCAGCTGCTAGCGCTGGGCGCGGACGTGACCCTGCGCAGCCGCTGGACCAACATGAACGCGCTTCACTACGCTGCCTATTTCGATGTGCCAGATCTCGTGCGAGTGCTGCTGAAGGGAGCAAGGCCTCGGGGTGAGGAGGCCAGGCCTGGATGAGAGGGGTCGGGCCTGGATGATAGAGGAGAGGTTTCACAGGGAAGAGGGTGCCCAGGGTGTGAGGATGTGGGTGCCAGGTCCAGGGCGGGGGAGGACACCCAGGATGAAAGGGTGAGGATGAATGAAGGGCAGGACTAAGGACTGACCAGGAAGGGGGAAGGGATCCAAGGTGACAGAGGGAAGCTGGAGGCAGAAGGCATGGGATGGAACCGGAGGTGTGGGGGTCTGTGGGCTGCAACTCTGTGGAAGGGCCGGGTAGACAAGAGGGGCGTGGCCTACAGAAAGGGGCCGGGCTCTGAGCGGAAGGTGCAGAGATTGCTCACCATAAACCTTCTCTTCCTTGCCCACTCCTTAGTGGTGAACTCCACGTGCAGTGACTTCAACCACGGCTCAGCCTTGCACATCGCTGCCTCCAACCTGTGCCTGGGTGCAGCCAAGTGTTTACTGGAACATGGTGCCAACCCAGCACTGAGGGTACTGTCACCCCGCCCCCTCCTCCCTTTTACCATGTACTTCCCTTCAACAGGCTCTGCAGAGGACAAAGACCACTCCTGAAATGTTACAGAAACCTCTGCACATTCAACAAATGAAACCACAGCTGACAGTCAGTGTTCATTACAAGTCTGTACCAGCCCAGTTTTACAATGGGAATTTCTGATGTCCAGGGTGTGGGGAGACAACATCTCTTTTTAAAAATATTTTATTATTTTTATTTTGTGTGTATGAGTGTATTGCCTGCATGTATGTGAGTGCACCCATCTCATGCCAATGTCTCAGAGGTCAGAAGAGGGTTTCAGGTTCCCCTGGAACTGGAGTTAAGAATGGTTTTTAGCCGTCATGTGGGTGCTAGGAATCGAACCCTGGTCTTCTGCAAGAGCAGTCAGTGCTCTCAACCACTGAGCCATCTCTCCAGCCCCTGACAATATCTCTTTTAGTCCTGGTTGGCTGAAAAGTGGCTGTGTACAAACAACATTTTGAGGGTATGAAGAAATTAGAGTTAGGTCATTAGTGAAAGCATCCTTTTTTTTTGAGGGTCTCACTATATAGCACTGGCTGGCCTGGAGCTCATTATGTATAGTCCAGGCTCTAGCTTCAAACTCACATCGATCCACCTGCCTCTGCCTCCTAAGTGCGGAGATTAAAGACAAGTGCCACCATGCTAAGCCATTCTTTTTGAGCCAGGTTCTCGTGTAGCCCTGGCTAGCCTCAAATTCACTATGTAGGTGATGCTGGCCGTGAACTCCTGATCCTTCTCTCCTGTCCCCCCTTTCCCAAGTGCTGGGATTACAGACATGTACCACCACCCAGCTTCTCAGTATAAACTTTGACCCCGACCTTCCCTCCAGCAGCTCCTATCTGGATACCGGTTTGTTCTGCCGCATTCCTGTCCCTAATATCTTCTGGGGACATGCTCTGCACCTCTGAGACCCTTCCCTTTCCTCTTTGCCCACTGAATCAGAGCTCAAACTGTGACCCTAGGCACAGTGGCGCCTTCTCAGCATAGCTTGGGGGTCTCTGAAAACATAACCTCCTTGAAGGTGTGACCTGCAGTCTGGCAGGTCTCTGGCAGGTCGGCCCTCGTTCTCTATTGGCGCCACCCCTGCCCACCATTGGTGACGTAACTAACACATTCTGGCCCAGGTTCTCAGAGCTAGACTCCATGCCTCTATCTTATTTGTTTCTTTGGAACTGGCCTGGACCAGGTTGACCTCTCACAGAGATCCACCTGCCTCTGCCTCCTGAATGCTGGGATTTAAGGGTATGTGCCACCATGCCCAGCCTGTATCTTTTAAAAAAATTATTCTTCTTTCATGTATATGAGTGTTTTGCCTGCATGCCAATGCCAGCAGAGACCAGAAGAGGGCATACAGTCCCCTGGAACTGGAGTTTTGGAAGGTTGTTAGCCACTCTGTGGGTGCTGGAACCAAACCTGGGTCCTCTGGAACAGCAGCCAGTGCTCTTAACCACTGAGCCATCTCTCTAGCTCCCGGTGTCTGTATCTTAATACCCTATTCCTTTTTATTCCCAAGGTGTGAGCTAGGATAACGCCTGCTTCACTCAGTCTGGGGGCCTGTGGTGTGGTCTCCATAGGGGTATGGCTTATCTCACTGAGTCCCTATTCCCTCTCTTTTCTTTGATGCCCCCCCCCAGAATCGAAAGGGACAGGTGCCAGCGGAAGTGGTCCCAGACCCTATGGACATGTCCCTTGACAAGGCAGAGGCGGCACTGGTGGCCAAGGAGCTGCGAACACTGCTGGAAGAGGCTGTGCCACTATCTTGCACCCTTCCCAAGGTCACACTACCCAACTATGACAACGTTCCAGGCAACCTCATGCTCAGTGCACTGGGCCTGCGCCTGGGAGACCGCGTGCTGCTGGATGGTCAGAAGGTCAGGGCCTGGGGTAGGGGTGGGAGAGGACTCAGCCTCCTCATCCTAAGGAGCTGGGTGCATGGACTGTGGACAGACCCTCCTCTTTGCTACCTCCCAGTCAGTCCATGTCTAAGTGGTTCTCAAGCTGCTTCCTTTCTGCCCCTGGGTCTCTGACCCAGAGGAGGAGACAGATGCATCCCCTGACAGAGACATCCCAGTGCAGCATCACTCTGCACACTTATACTCCCCTGGGGGTCTTGTGGCCCACTTAGACCCTCAGAGTGCTCAGGACCTTTACTGGGATGGTATAGGTGGAGCATCTGTCTGGAAGATCAATGGTCCAAGGGAAGAGAAGCAGAAAGTGCCTATAGATGTACAGGGGGAGGGGCAGAGAAAATCTCCCATCATCCAAACCTCCCAGCTTTCATTCTTTTGCCTGGTGTCTCTTGGAGCTCTGCTGGTAATGAAAAAGACAATGATGTGCGGATCATTTCCAGTGGCAGCGAGCGCTGTGAAAACCATTCAGTGCTTTAGTGCATTTAGGAAACTGTTCCTGGCTGGAGGCAGAGGTGACTTTAGCTGGAGTAGTCAAGGAAAGCTTCCCTGAGGAGGTGATGTCCAAATGAAGAGAGAAAGTAGCTCACAGCAGTATGAAGACCCAGGAGTCGGGAAGGGACAGTGTGAGAGCATAGGAGGTATGGGAAAAAGGATCCAGAAGAGGCTGGATCACACCAGACCTGCAGGCTCCTGAAAGGAACTGGGATTTTGTTTCTTATCCAATGAGAAACGATACAACCCATTTGGATTTTGGTTTTTTATTTCTTATTATTTTTATTTTATGTATATGAGTGTTTTGCCTACATATATGTAAGTGCACTATGTATGTGCAATGCCTGAGGAGGCTAGAAGAGGGCATCCCCTAGAACTGGAATTAGAGATCCCCTAGAACTGGAATTAAGGACGATTGCTAGCTGCCATGTGGGTGCTGGGAACTAAACCAGGTCCTCTGTGAGAGCAGCCAGTACTCTTAACTGCTGAGCCATCTCTCAGTCCCATGTTTTGTTTCTTAGTCAAGAGTTCATGGGGCTGGCAGGATGGCCCAGTGGGTAAAGGTGCTTACAGTACAAGTCTGGTGATCCCTATGCAAAGATGGAAGGAGAGAATTGACTCCTCAAATTTGTCCTCCAATCTCCACATCTACACCATGGCATGTGCACCCCCCAATAATGATGATGATGATGATGATGATGATGATGTTTTTAAAGAGTTCAGTATATCCCATCCAGAAAGCTTTCCTATACACAATCTAACCAAACACATTGGCTGATTTGAGGGTATGACTTGGCTCTTACCATTTTACACCCTAAAAAACTAAGAGGCTCAAAGAGATGAAGCTCTTTATCAAAAGACATAGAATACTACTACTGCTGTTAGAGACCCAGCTTAGCTCGGGCCCAGCTTGCCCAGGTTTAGCTTTGTCACGTATTAGCAAAGAGTCCTGGATAGTGATTCCATCTTTGGGTGTCAGTTTCTCCACTTATAAATGGGGGTAATGATAGTGTCCACCTCAGGGGGGTTGAGAGAGGCTTACTGTAAGTGTCAAGGCCTTTTGAACAGCCTGGTATCTACTAAATGCTCTTTGTATGCAAGCACCATTCCATCCCTCATACCAATCAGAATCAGTGCTGTTCATTAATCCACTTATTGATTGATTGATTGATGGGTTGATTGCTGGTGATGGAGCCAGAACATCATGCATGGTAGGCAAGCACTCGGCCACTGAGCTTTATCTCCAGTGCCAATTACCCCATTTTCTAGAGGACAAACTAAGGGGTAGGGGTGAGGGCTAGGGTTGTAGCTCAGTGGTAGAGCACTTGCCTAGCTAGTGTTCTTGAGGCTCTGGGTTCCTCCCTCAGCACTACAAAGAAGAAAAATGACCATGTGTGGTAGTGCATGTCTGTAATCCAATGGTGGGTGGGGGTGGGGTGGGGTGGGCAGAGGCAGGAGGATCTGAAGTTCAAGGTCATTCTCAGCACCATTGAGTTTGAAGTCAGCCTGTGCTAATGGAGGCCCCATTTCAAATAAATAAATTAACAGATAAGGGACTATAATGTGGTGGAAGTGAGGGAGCCTTTCAGGATTATAGCAACCACAATCACAGACTCCCTGCATCTTATTTATTTGCATTGAAAATGTTATACAGCTGGGCTTGGTGCACACCTTTAATCCCAGCACTCAGGAAGCAGGGGCAGGCGAATCTCTGTTGTGAGATTGAGGCTAGCCTGGCCCTGTCTCAAATACAAAACAAGGACAGAACAAAACAAAATGTTGCCAGGCATGGTGGTGCATGCCTTTAATCCTAGCACTCAGGAGGCAGAGGCAGGTGGATCTCTGAGTTTGAGGCCACCCTGGTCTAAATAGTGAGTTCCTGGACAACTGGGACTACAGGGAAATCCTGCCTCAAAAAGACAAAAAAAAAAAAAAAAAAAAAAAAAAAAAAAGAAGAAAAAAATGTGTTCTTCAAACCCCTTAAGGTAGGTGTGATGTCAGTGCCAGAAATCCTAGCACTGGGGAGACTAAGGAGGATCAAGAGTTCCAGGGGCTGGAGAGATATAGCTCAGTGGTTAAGAGCACTGGCTACTCTTGTAGTGGACCTGGGTTCAGTTCCCAGCACCCACATGGTGGCTAATGGACTAAAGCTCCAACTCTAGGGGATCTGACACCCTCTTCTGGCCTCTGTGAGCACTGAATGCACAAAGTACATTTACATATATACATACATAACACTCATACACATAAAATGAAATTTAAAAATAGTTTTAAGCTAGCCTGTGCAACATATTGTGACCATGTCTCAAATTAAACCAGACAAAGTCCCACACTCTTTTAATTCTAGCACTTGGTTGAGGTTGAGGCAAGAGGATAAGGAGTTCAGAGTCATCCTGAGCTACATCTGGAGTTCCAGGCCAGGTCAGCCTTGAATACATGAGACCCCATCTTTAAAAAGGTGTGGGGGGGGGGGACTGGAGAGCTTGCTCAGTGGTTAAGAGTACTGACTGTTCTTGCAGAGGACCTGGGTTCAAATCCCAGCACCCACATGGTGGCTAACAAGTGTGCATGACACGGGTGCACTTATACACCTGCAGGCATAACACTCATACACATAAAATTTAAATTAACTAATTTAAAAAGGTGGGCTGGAGAGATGGTTCAGTGGTTTAGAGCACTGGCTAGTCTTGCAGAGGACCCAGGTTCAGTCACCAGCACCCACCTGGTGGCTAACAACCATCCATAACTCCAGTTCCAGGGGATCTGATGCCCTCTTCTGACTTCTGCAGCCACTGCACAACACAGATGCACTTACATACATTCAGGTAATACACTCATACACATAAAAAATAAAAATAATAATTCTTTTGTTGTCTTTTTCAGACAGGGTCTCCCCAGCTGGTCTGGAACTCACTATGTAGACCAGGCTGGCCTTGAACTCACATAGATTTGCCTGCCTTTGCCTCCTGAGTGCTGAGATTAAAGGCCACCACGCCCAACAAAAGTAAAAAGATAAAAAAACCCAGCTGGTTCTCTTGCAGAGGACCCAAGTTCGGTTGCCAGCATCCACAGTTGTCTGTAATTCTCATTCTAGGGGCTCTACTGCCCTCTTCTGACCTTCATGGGTATTGCATGCACATAAAACAAATGGCTGGGCGTGGTAGCACACACTAATCCCAGCAGAGAGCAGGCCAGCCCCTACATAGTAAGTTCCAGGCCAACTGGGGCTACAGGGAGACCTTGTCTCAAAAAGACCAAAAATTAATTAATTAATTTTAAAAGGGGGGAAAAAAACCAACAAAAATTTGCTTCCAGACATTCACCTGGGTGTGTTACCACCCATGTTTTCTAGATCCCCTAACCAGTTACAGTGGGTAAACACCCCCACTTGCTGCTCTGTTAGTACCTGCTCTGGTGGCTATAACTGCTCCATGACAAGCCTGCCCATTAGACCAGGACATGGTAGACAGGTCCTGGGTCTGTGCTGTACAATAAAGCAGACACAGCCATGAGCACTTGAAATTTGGCAAGGGAAATACATTTTTTTCAAATTTATTTATTTTTGAGATACGGTTTCTTTGTATACCCCACACTGCCATCAAACTTGGTAGTAATCCTCCTGCCAAATGTGCACCACTATCCCTAGTTCAAACATATTTTTAATTGAGACAGGGTCTCACTCTGTAGCCTAGGTTGGCCTGGAACTGGCTTGGAACCTAGGTTGGCCTTGAGCTTGCTACAGTCTTCCTGCCTCAGTCTCTTAAGTGCTGGGATTGCAGGTGTGAGTTGCCAGACTTGACAATTTTTAGTTTAAATCATCACTGTGGCTGGTGACTATTTACTGTATTAGATAGGACAGCTCTTTTAACAGTCTTTTTTGCTTATGGCACCTGGGATGGAACCTAAGGCCTTGTGTATGGTAGGTAACCACTCTGACATTGAGTCAAACCCCAGTCCCACTAACAGCCTTTATCAAGTGAATATAATCTTTGTTCCCATTTGGTAGATAAGGAAACTGAGACACTAGTCAGTAAACGATGGTGTCAGAGCTGAGATTTGAGCCTGGCTCTATCCTGCTGTGCAGCCTGTGTGTCAGTGACCCACCATGGCCTCCCAAGGGCTCTGTCCAAGCCATATCTTGCTTGTCTCCCCAGACGGGCACACTGCGGTTCTGTGGGACCACGGAGTTTGCCAGCGGCCAGTGGGTAGGCGTGGAGCTGGATGAACCTGAGGGCAAGAACGATGGCAGTGTTGGGGGTGTCCGCTACTTCATCTGCCCTCCCAAGCAGGGTCAGTCTCTGCTGGGCCCAGGAGGGTGGGATGGGGGTACATTCAGTCCTTCTGATGCTGCTCTCTGAGTAATGGGGGTGGGGGTGGGAGCACAGCCAAGGGCAAGGGCACAGCAATACAAAGCCCAGGCTCTGCCTCCTCCCCAGGTCTCTTTGCTTCTGTGTCCAAGATCTCCAAGGCAGTGGATGCAGCCCCCTCATCTGTCACCTCCACACCCCGGACTCCCCGGATGGACTTCTCCCGTGTCACTGGCAAAGGCCGAAGAGAACACAAAGGTCAGGGAAGGGGTAGTCCTAGGGATAGGAGGAGCCAGCCTTGGGAACATGGGGCAGCTCAGCTTCTGTGGGTTGGTTTTTCCTCAACTCCAGTTTCAGAGGATAAGCTCTGAGTTCCTACTTCCATAACTCAGTTTCTCTTTCGGCTCAGTACTAGCCCAACCCATCTTTTTACAAAATTTATTATTTTTATTTTATATGTATGAGTGTCTTGCCTGCATGTATGTCAGTGCACCCATGTCATGCAATGCCCGTGGAGGTCAGAAGAAGGCGTCAGATCCCCTGGAACTGGAGTTACAAACAGTTAACTGTCATGTGGGTGCTGGGAATTGAATCCGGGTCCTCTGCAAGAACAGTCAGTGCTCTTAGCTGCTGAGTCATCTCTCCAGTCACCCCCCCCCCAGCTTTTGGAAGGACCTCTGGGGTTCCTTGTCTTTTGTGACTTAGTTTCTCCTTAGGCCCAAAGACCTCTTCCAATTTTAGGCAAGAATCTGCTCTAGAGGTTCCCGTTCCAGAAGTCTCTGGTTTTGTGACTAGAGACACAAAACCAAATTTGCCTTCATTTTATTTACTTTTTCTTTCTGTGTGGTGTATGTGTGTGTACATGTTCATATATGTATGTATATGTACTTGTGGGTACAAGTATATGCACATTTATATCTTATTATTTTTATTTTATGTGTATGAGTGTATTGCTTGCATGTAGTTAGGCATGCCCATGTCATGCAATGCCCACAGAGGTCAAAAGAGGATATCGGCGTCAGATCCCCTGGAATGGAGTTTGGGTGCTGGGAACTGAACCCAGATCCTCTGCAAGAGCAGCCAGTGCTCTTAACCACTGAGCCATCTCTCCAGTCCCCACCCCCATCCTTTTTTTTTTTTTTCTTTTGAGACAGGGTCTCTTTGTAGCCCCAGCTATCCTGGAACTCACTATGTAGACCAGGCTGGCCTTGAGCTCAGAGATCTGCCTGCCTCTGCCTCCCGAGATTAAAGGCCAGCTCCAGCTCCTTACTTTTTATCTTTATCTTCTACCTTCAGGAAAGAAGAAATCCCCCTCTTCCCCATCTTTGGGCAGCCTGCAGCAGCGTGAGGGGGCCAAGGCTGAAGTTGGAGACCAAGTCCTTGTCGCAGGCCAGAAGCAGGGGATTGTGCGGTTCTACGGGAAGACCGACTTTGCTCCAGGTGAGGGTGGGGGGACTCTGGGCTGGGGGCCAGGCAGGGCCTTGAGGCCTCCTGACAACACTCTGCTGCAGGTTACTGGTATGGCATCGAGCTGGACCAGCCCACAGGCAAGCATGATGGCTCTGTCTTTGGCGTCCGGTACTTCACCTGTGCCCCACGGCATGGGGTCTTTGCACCAGCATCCCGCATCCAGAGGTGAGCCCTGTTCTGCCCCTCAACTCAGAGGGCCACCCAGAGCCCTGGTTGACCCTCATCTCTTGCTCTTTCCTTTGGGCTCCCCTGGGCTCAGCTCTTGGCCCCTCATGGCTCTGACTTCTCTCTGTGCCTCCCTAGGATTGGTGGATCTACTGAGTCCCCTGGAGATAGTGTTGGAGCCAAAAAAGTGCATCAAGTGACAAGTGAGTTCAGGGCTGGGGTGCAGGGAAGAGAGTGAGTCTGGGGATGGGAAGAGGGTTGTAGTTCTTATACATGTTGGTGACAGTCTGGCATTTAATTGAGTACATGGAACCCAGAAAAATAGGACACAGGGTCCCAAAGAAGATAGATATGGTAGGATATGGGGAAGTTAATAAGGTTGTGAGGGCTAGGAGTGCTGTTCAGTAGTAGAGCACTTCCTAGAATCTACCAGTGAGGCGACTGGGGGCATGGCTCAGTGATAGAGTGTTTGCCTAGAATCTCCCAGTGAAGGGCTGGGGGTGGGCTCAGTGGTAGAGCACCCGCCTAGAATCCCCCAGTGAGGGGCTGGGGGCATGGCTCAGTGATAGAGCACCTGCCTAGAATCCCCCAGTGAGGGGCTGGGGTGTGGCTCAGTGATAGAGCACCTGCCTAGAATCCCCCAGTGAGGGGCTGGGGGTGTGGCTCAGTGGTAGAGCACCTGCCTAGAATCCACCAGTGAGGGGCTGAGGGCTGTGGCTCAGGGCCTAGCATGTATGAGGTCATGGGTTCCATTCTCCACTCAGAGAAAAACAAAAACCACCTGTAAAACCAACACTCATGGAGTTGAGGTGAGGATCACAAATTTAAGATTAACCTCAGCTACATAGTGAGACCACTTTAGAAAACCCAACTCAAGGCTCTAAGAAGGCATTCGGAATGTGGAGGTATTAGACCTTACTGAGAGGGTGTTGGGGACGCAGGTAGTTAGTTCCAGGGGGACCTGACAGGCATTAATGACAACAGATCTGGGTGGCCATTGGAAATGAAGGAATCCAGGTAGTTCCTGGGGACAGTAGATATGACAGAGTTGGGTGGGTATTGAGGACACAATTGAGTCTGTTGTTCCTTCACCTCAGTCCTGGCCTTTTTTTCCAGTGACACAACCCAAACGCACCTTCACCACAGTCCGGACCCCGAAGGACATTGCATCAGAGAACTCTATCTCCAGGTGTGTGGCCAACTAGTCTTGGCAGATGTCAGAGAGATTCACAAAGCCATTGGATATGGAGGTCCAGAGCACTAGTTGGGGCTAGGTTGTGACTAAACTGGATATGGTAGTGCATGCCTATAATCCCAGCACTAAGAGGGCCGGTGAATCAAGAGTTCCAGCCTGGGCTACATAATGAGACCATGTCTCACAAAACCCATAACGAAAAAAGAAGAGAGAGCCAGGTATGGCAGCTCACACCTGTAATTGTAGTACTAGAGAGACTGAGGCAGATGGATCACCCCGAGTTTGAGGGCAGGCTGGGCTACATAGTGAGACCTGAAAAAGAAAACAAGAAAAGCCAGGCATGGTGGCACATGACTTTAATCCCAGCACTTGGGAGGCAGAGGCAGGTGGGTCTTTGTGAGATGGAGGCTAGCCTGGTCAACATATCAAGTTCCAGGTCAGCTGGGGCTAAGGGTCACACCTCCAGAGTATGACCTGACTATCCCCTGTCTCAAAAAGAGCAAAATAAAAAATAAAAAAAAATTAAAAAATTAAAAAAAAATAAAAGGAAAAATTGTGACTAGTAAGCATTCCAAGAAAACAATCTTTAGGACATAGGGTTTGACACTGACTTCTGGAGACTTCAGCATTTAGGGGCAGGTGAAGAAAGAAGAAGCCCTCCACCCTACATAAGCCTCTTGGCCCAGCCAGAGGCAGCGTGCCAGTCTTAGAAACGGGGGGTGATGGAGGCAGACGTGTCCACACCTGTATCTCCATGTGACCTGGCTTTCCCCTTTCAGGTTACTCTTCTGCTGCTGGTTCCCCTGGATGCTGAGGGCAGAGATGCAGTCTTAGAGGCCCTGGCTACCCAGCAAATGAGACAGAGTCCCCTCTAGCATCTCCTGACACAAGGAGCCCCCAGCCACCCTGAGATAGAGATTCCCAGTAACACCTCCAGAATAGAGACCCCTGTTAGCCAGCCCTCAATTACTGAGGTCCCATTATTAACATATCCCCCATGACAACCCTCCCAGATACAGACCCCATGTCACCCTGAAAGAGATTTCCCTGAGTAGCACCTTCAGGCTAGTCCCTGTCCCCTACTTCTCAGAACAGATCCCCCAATAAACAGATTTCCACCTCACCCCAAGTGATGGTGACCCTCTCCATAATGCTCCACAACAAAACATTCCTGAGTTACCCACCAGTGGCTCAGAGTCCCATGAATGAAGACCCCTCTCTCTCCTTTCTCCTTAAACATAGGTCACACCTCCAGAGTAGCCGACCATGTCACTATTCCCATTTAACATCAGTCTCCTCAAGATGTTGTGACCTCAGGTCAGCTTAAAGCCCTTACACGTTAATCTGAGATGCCCTCCATTCACAGAGCCCCTTGTTCTTACCCCTAAAGAGACCCACTTAACCAGCACACCGTCACTTCCAATTTACAGACACCAAAATAGTCCTGGAAGTGTGAATTACAGGACTCCAAGTCTTCCTGCCCTCTGTACCCTCAAGAAACCCCCAGTGCCTTGTATGAAGCCCACTCCACATGGCCCACAGTCTCTGTGCTGGCCAAGGCTCCCAGAAAATTCTCTATTTTTTAAAAAAGTAATGACTTCCCCTTTGGGGGGAATCCCAAAATTTGGAGACCCCATTCTGGAACTCTGGGGAGGCCAAATTCCAGAGTATGTATATCCCCAACTTCCCAAGCCCTACAGTCCCTAGAAGACCCCCGAGTTTCTAAATCCCAGGACCCCAAAATCATATCTAAAATCCCAGGAACCCCAAATCCCAGAACCCCCAAATCCCCACAGAATCCCACATTTTAAAATCTAATTCCAAACCCTCAGGAAACCCCAATCATGAGGTCCTTAAGACTGGGATGGAGGCGTCTGCTGTCAGGACGTGCATTCCAGGCTCCCAGGACACCTCAGAACCTATTTACAGGCACCAGGAGACCCCAAATAGGAAGTCCCATCGTTGGGACAAAAATAGAGGACTTCAATGCCCTCATTCCATGGTTCTACAGATCTACAAAACCCCAAACTCTTAAGAGGCCCAGTCCCAAGGGAACCCCCAAATCCCAAAGCTTCCATCTCTAATATGTGGAGGGCCACAGGACCCCAAATCTTGGAGTCCCAATTTCAATCTACCTTCCGGTCACAGGTCCAAGACACTAAATCAGAGTCATTGGCCCCAAAGGACCTCACAGCACTTGGGCCAGACCAACAGCCTGAGGGAGAACCTGATGGCCCCATGGGTCCAGAGCGGACCTGGGGTTCTGACCACCAAGGACAGCTCACGACTGCCCCTTCACTGCATGTCCCCAAGCTCAGCATGACCCCTGTCCTCTTCAATAAAGACGTTTCTATGGCTTTCCTGTGTCGAGTCACTGGGGGTTACAGCGCTGACCCCGTGGGATGGATGGAGGAAGAAAGCCATCATCAGTGTGGCCTCCCTGCGGCAGGGCCACAGGACCGACGGCCGGCCTAGGGGAAGTCCAACCACCCCATATTTCCCCCCGCCCCGCCCCCCCGCCCCCCCCCCGGCACTGTTCTCCTCCGTCTCCACTCAGCTCTGTGGCTCGGGTCGGTTTGGCAGGAACCAGACCCGTCCCTCCTGGACTTCCATTGGCTCAGCGGCCAGGAGTCGCAGCCTCTACCTGGGCGCCGATGGGGGGAGGGGTGTGTGTGTGTAAGAGCGTGATTGGCTGGAAGGCGGGCCCTAAGTGCTCTGAACGTGCTGGTTGGTGTAAGACCTCTTGCGTCGGCAATACGGGGCGGAAGTGGCTGGGAGCGGGAGGATGGGGGAGTTGTAGCTGGAAATTGGAGGGGAGACTGGACGGTCAGTTGGGGGGGGCGTGTCTGGGACTGTAGAGGTGAGTGTCCAAAGGAGAGCTGAAAGTGGGGGTCCTGGGAGCGCAGAGCGGGAGTTCCAGGGGGCTCAGATTGTGGAATCCTAAGACTCAGATTTGAGAAGTTCAGCCGGGGAGGATTAAGCTCAGATCATAGGGTGTTGGATGAAGGGGTGCTGGGCAAGGGAAGTCCGACAGGGCCCTGAGTGTGGAGGGTAGGCATGGACAAGTCTGAGAAAGCTCAAATTAGGGACACAGAGATGCTCACAATGGGGGATCTGAAAAGGTGGAGGCGAGAGGAAGCTCTTCAGGGCTCTGAGAGAATTGTGCTCACGGTTGCATGTCAGAAGTGGAGTCCCCAAGAAGAGTGTCTATTAAAGGGGTTCTAGCGATGTGCAGAGCTTTTAAGAACGGTTTTGTGTGCCGGGTCAGAGAAGTCCCTGAGGCTTGAGAAGACAAATGCACGGTTTGGTGGGCCCTGGGTGGACAGAGTCTGGAGGACTGTCAGGGCTGGAAGCCTTGAATGGGGCATTGGTAGTTTTTGAGATGCTGAGGTCTCAGTCTCTAGAGACTGAGGTCCCTAGGAAGGCTGAGGTTAGACTCTAGCCCCTGATGGGATAAAAGGCTGGATCACAGCATGAAGATAGGAGACTTAGTGACTTCATGTCCATCCCTCCCCACAGGACTATATACAAGGAGTTGGTGTCAATGGAGGAGCAGGACGCCAGGGTCCCAGGATTGGAACCATTCAGGGTGGAACAGGTTGTCAGGACTCGGGAGGGGGGGTGTAAGAGAGGAAGTTGGGGGGCAGAAGGGTGAAAGTGGGGTGGGGTAGCAGGCTGACTCCTGGGTCCACTGGTTGGTATTGACCCCTCTCCCTCAGAGTCCAGTCCTATGTCCAACCCCACCTTAGAATGGTCATAGGCCCCTTGGCTTGAGGTCCTGACCTGTCTGAGGACATCCTGGGTCCCTCTCCAGAGGGAGAGGTTGCTCAGTGACGATAGGGTCCTTATGTTGGGCAAAGGACCATATCTTGAGGGGAGCCTTTCTGTTATAGGCACCACCTGTAATCTACTATGTCCCTGACTTCATCTCCAAGGAAGAAGAGGAGTATTTGCTTCGACAGGTGACCCCAGTGCCCTCTGCTCTGTTTTTCTCCACTTCCCCACCCCTCTGCAATCCTCAGCCTCATATGAGAGTTCTGAACCTTCTGTGAAAACCCAAGAAGAAAGGAAAGTGCCATAACACACACACACACACACACACACACACACCATGTTCCTCTTTCAGGCATCTATAGGGCCTATGAGAATGAACTTTCTCAGCCAAGTGTGGTAGCACACAACTGTAATCCCAGCACTGGAGAGACTGAGGCAGGATGATCTTGAGTTTGAGGTCAGTCTGGGCTACATTGTGTGATCCTGTCTGAAAAAAGAAAAGAAAGGAAAAAAGAAAAGCTTTCCATAGCAGCTTAGGAAAAATCAAACAAATGTGTGTGTGTGTGTGTGTGTGTGTGTGTGTGTGTGTGTGTGTGTAGTACCGGGGATGGAATCCAGGGCTTTATGGCTTTTTGCATGCTAGGCAGGTACTCTGCCACTGAAGCATACTCCCAGCCCAAGGAGGTGGTTATGAAGCTCAGATTCCCTGCACTGAGATAGCTCTGTCCATTCTTCAAATAAGGGTGTTATTGAGACCATATTCCTTGTACAAGAATAGCCAAGTGCAACCCCAGTGCCTCAGGAACAAGGAAATGACAGGACTCATACTCCCAAGCTGGGTGTGGTGGCACATGCCCATCATCTCAGCACTTGGGAGGTGGATGCAGGAGGATCCGGAGTTCAAAGCCAGCCTGGGATACTCGGTCTTTTTTTGAGACAGGATCTCCTTGTAGCCCCAGCTGACCTAGAACTTGCTATGTAGACCAGGCTGGCCTTGAATTCACAGAGATCCGCCTGCCTCTGCCCCCCAAGTAATGGGATCAAAGGCGTGTGCCACCATGCCCAACATTTGTGTGTGTGTGTGTGTTGTGTATGTGTATGTGTAATTTTTTATGTCTCCATAGCATTCCAAGAGAACAATCCCATTAAAATGATCCATTTCCAGCTGAGGACCATCTGGCTAGACCATCTGTCACTCCATTGATTGCCAGGACTGACTCAGCTGATCTGGCTGGCTTAGGCAGGTGTCCACATGCTGCTCCCTCACCGCTTTATATGTGTCCCTCCCGAAGTTGTGCTCATCGTAGGAGAGGACGACCTTCCTAGAAGACCATTCTTTGGTCAAGGGTATATGAATGGCTGTGATCCCCCTTGCCAGCGCCTCTAAACAAGTTCTGATTGACCCATTTCTACCCCATGTGAAGGCCCTTGTGTTGGCCTGAGTGGGTGAGTCTTGAAAGCCCCATTCCCCACCTCCTAGGTTTTCAATGCCCCAAAGCCAAAATGGACCCAGCTATCTGGGAGGAAGCTACAGAACTGGGGTAAGTTTCCCTGGCTGCGGGCATGGATGATTCTGGAGTGTGGGGTGGGCAGTGCTCTGGTCCAGTGGTTTCAAAACATAGGGAAGGGCATATCCCTAAGGGTTCAAAGGATTCTAGGACCAGGAGGATTCAGGGTTCAGTCCTGAGGGGTTTCCTGAGTAATTGGGAGTGTCTCCAAGGTCTGAATGTTCTAGAGAAAACAGTCAAAGATCCAGGGGCAATCTCTCAAAGCTCAGGGGGTGAGGTGCTTCCAACCACTAGAACCATATTCCTAGTGGGGGCTCCAGGTGCCAAGACTACTTGGTTGGGTGCCCTCAGTCCTCCATTGCACTCCCCAGGTGGGCTCCCCCATCCCCGGGGGATGGTCCCTGAGCGACTGCCCCCATGGCTCCAGCGCTACGTGGACAAAGTGTCTGACCTCAGCCTTTTTGGGGGTCTCCCAGCTAACCATGTCCTCGTGAACCAGTATCTGCCTGGGGAGGGCATCATGGTAACCACACACCCTCACCCCGCCTCCCATGGTAACCAATTCCCCCCAGACCTCTGAGCCATCATGAGGAAGGGTAGCCATTGTGTTTGCCCATTCTCACTGAGCAGCCACATACATCTAGGGATTCATCTCCTTGTCTCAGCTTGGGAGCCCCACTGTAACCTAGAGGGTGGGGTGTAGGCTTCTGTCCTGGCCAGCCCTGGTGCCTCCTTCCTCCCCAGCCTCATGAGGATGGACCACTTTACTACCCAACTGTCAGCACCATCAGCCTGGGCTCCCACACTGTCCTTGACTTCTATGAGCCTCGACAGCCAGAGGATGATAGCCTTGTGGAACAGGTGGGTCCTGAGATGCTGTCACAAGTGACAAGCATTTGGGGGAGGGTGGATTCTAGCATCTGACATCCCACATCCTCCAGGACAGTCTGATCCTGCCTGCCTTCAGGCTATTCCTAATACCCAGACATGTTCCCTTGTCTCTGGTTGGATGCCCACACTTCTTCCTAGTTACAGCCCACACCCAACCAATCTGCTTACATGGTACCGTAACTACTGTGATACACACAGATACCCCAGTACCTTTTTGTGTTGAGTAGATGGATGTCTCTGACACCCCACAGGTCCCTTGAGCTCATATAGTATTCCAACCAACATTTATTTATTTATTTTAAGGCAGCATTTAAGTAGCCCAGGCTGGCCTCACACTTGATGCCTTCTTGCCCCAGCCTCAGAAGTACTGGGATTATAGGCTTGCACTACTGTGTCTGGCTCCAACAGATATTCTTTATTTTAATTTTTTGGTCTTTTTAAGACAGGGTCTCCCTGCAGCCCCAGCTGTCCTGGAACTCACTATGTAGACCAGGCTGGCCTTGAACTCACAGAGATCCACCTACCTCTGTCTCCCAAGTGCTGGGACTACAGGCGTGCGCTACCACGCCCGGCTCCAACAGACATTCTTTATATCCTCAAGGCACCCCAATGTGTCATTCACTCAGGTGTGCCCAAGTGTGCTCCCAATTGTTCTGACTGTTCACACAGCATAGGGCACCCCAACACTGATGTCCTGCCACTCCAGTCATGTGCTCTGCAGTGCAAGAGACCCCCAGATTCTCCTTAACTCATCATCACATGACTGGATTGGGGACACCCCCAGATACCTGACAGCCCGGTCTCTGACTTCTATCTCTTGAGTGATGCATTCCTGACACCCCAATGTTCAGAGTCTCCCCTGGTTTGTTGTTTGTAGCCCTGACTGTGCCCAGCTCTTCTCTTCCCCCTTTCCTTCCCTCCCACCCCAGTCGACTTCCTGCACCCCCATGCTTGACTATAGTTTCTGCTTTAACCTTACATGTACCTAGGAGATGCTCCAGCATGCCTCAGACTAGCAGTCACTCCCATCCTGAGGCCTGTGATAGGCCACTCCCTCTACCTTCTGTACCTGGGCCTGGATTCCCAGCCTGCTATTACACAGGTGTCCTGGGGACTGCCTCTCAGACTGCCCAGCAGACCCTGCCTCCTCCAAAGTGACCGAGTCCTGCCTCCTCCAAAGTGACCTTGACCCCCTCCCTCCACTCCCGGGCTTCCCTTCCCAACACTCCTGTCCATTGAACCTGTAGATTTCCACTCCTCAGTTATCAGAAGTTTCCATCCCCGGAAGCAAAGGGACTCTTTTGTCCCTGAGAACTTGTTTTCCCTGACTGCTAAAGCCTGCTGACTTTTTACCCACTCCCAACCTCCTGATGTCCACTGACCATCCACCGGCCCCACAGCCCCGGCCGCCTCCACAGCCCATCACTTCCCTGCTGGTGGAACCACGTAGCCTACTGGTGCTCCGGGGTACTGCTTACACGCGCCTCCTCCACGGCATCGCCGCAGCCCACGTGGATGAGCTGACCGCCACTTCCCTGCCACCTAATGCCACTGCCTGCAGATCTGCTCTGCCCGGAGCCCGCCTGGTGCGCGACACCCGCGTCTCACTGACCATCCGCCGCGTGCCCCGCGTGCTGCGAGCCGGCCTCCTGCTCAGCAAGTGACATCAGGCTCCCGGCCCTGCTCAAGTTCCCTGGCTCCTGCCTTGGGACCCTGGGGTAGAGGCAGCTGTCCAGGATTTTCTTAGTAACTGGAAACCATGGGAGAAGGGACACCATTCCAAATAAACCAAAAATATCTCTTTGGTTTTAGATGTTTATTAGACCGAGAAGATGCTTCCTTTTCCCCTCCCCCCACCCTCTCAGTACTGTACCACTAAACTATATCCAGCCACCACCACCTTATTATATTTATTTATTTTATTATTTTTGTAAGTTGAGAAGGTCTCCATAAGTTACCCAGACTGGCCTTGAACTTGAGATCCTCCTGCCTGGGAGGATCAGATTGCACCCGAGACTTTATAGTTTTTGTTTTTGTTTTTTTTTTTTTTTTTTTTTTTTTTGAGAAAGGGTCTCCTTGTAGCCCCAGCTGTCCTGGAACTATGTAGACCAGGCTGGCCTCGAACTCACAAAGATCCACCTGCCTCTGCCTCCCAAGTGCTGGGATTAAAGGTGTGCGCGACCACGCCCGGCTATAGTTTTTAAAAATATATTTTATTATTTTTATTTTATGTGTATGTTATGCCTGCATGTAGGTAAGTGCACCCGAGTTGTGCAGTGCCCACTGAGAACATAAGAAGCTGTCAGATCCCCTGGAAGTGGGGTTACAGACAGCTAACAGGTCTTCTGCAAGAACAGTCAGTGTTCTTAACTGCTGAGCCATCTCTCTAGCCCTGCACCTGAGACTCTACATGAATGGGATAGGCCCTGGTGGTCAGGAACATGGCTACCTAAAGGAAACAGGATCCAGGGTTCTTGAGGGAATGGAGGGTGGGGTTTTTGATCTTTGAGATGGAATGTGGTGAACTTGGGAGGTTTAGGTATTGGTCCAGCTGGGGAGGAAGGAGTTAAGTGTCTCTGCTGTCACCTCAGCAGGGTATCACATTACCTAGGTCCAGGTTCCACTGGGAAGGGGTGGAGCTAGGCTGGCCCCTGGGCCTCTCTATAGCTTCAGGCCTGGTTGAATCCCGCTGAGAAGGACCAAGGGACACTACTGGCTACAAAACAGGCTCTTACTGGGCGTCCTCATGTGACTGTCCCCTGCCCCCCAGCCATGGCTCTGTCCCTACCTCTCAGTCTTGGACTCCCCTCAGAACCCCTCAGCCATCCCCCTGGAGCTCCAAGGGAGCTGGACATTGCTGGACGCACCATCTGCCCTATGCCTGGAGAAGAGACAAGCAGGTGGGGGCTGGGGCTTTAAAACTTGGTTCCACAGGAGGGATAGTGGCAGTGGCTATTTTTGTGTTGTAGGTGCTGTGGTATGGTCTCATAGAGACATGAGAAATAGCTGGGATGGGGTTCTGGTAGGGCTTCCAGGGCCTCATCAACATCTTTTACCTCTAGGCCACAGCAGGCCCAAGTCTCCCTGGATCTTCCTGAGTGCATCCAGAGTGGGCTGAAGGACACTGAGCCTACGTACAGCCCCCCAAGACCACCAGTGGCCTCTACCCATGAGCACCCAGATGTGGGCAAACACTGTGAGGTGAGCTGACCACACCCTTTGTGCTACCCCCACCCCACCCCCAACCCCCAGAATCTGCCTTCTGATTCATTCCAGTACTGGGAATGACATGATGTTTGGGGGAAGGTGTTGGGTATCATTGGAGGGAGGGACACTACAAAGATACTTTGCTAATCAGTATAGAAGTGTTTCAATTATTGTTTATTATTTATTTTACTTTGCATGTGCATGTGTATGTGTATGCAGGTGCAAATGCATGTGTGCTCATGCATGTGAAGGCCAGAGGTCAATGTTTGTTGTCTTCCTCAGTCACTCTCCACTTTATTTTTGTTCAAAAAAATAAAAAAAAAATATTATTTTTAAAATTTTATGTGTATGAGCATTTTGCTTGCACATATCTAAGTGCACCTTGTCATGCAATGCCCACGGAAGTCAGAAGAGTTTGAGCCCCTGGAACAGGAGTTACAATTGGTAGCCATCATGTGGGCTCTGGGAGTCAAACCTGCAAGAGCAGACAGCGCTCTTAACCACTGAGCCATCTCTCCAGTGTCCTCAAAAAAAAAGTTTTAAAAAATTTTTATGTGTGAATTTTTGTGCACCATGTGTGTACAGGAGCCCTTGGAGCAGAAGAGGGCATCTGATCCCCCGGAACTGGGGTTTTAGAGGTTGTGAGCCATCATGTGGTCCCTTACAAGTGCTCTTAACCACTGAGCCATCTCTCTAGCCCTCCACCTTTCTTTTCTTTCTTTCTCTTTTTCTTTTGAGACAGGGTCTCCCTGTAGCTGCAGCTGGCCCAACTAAAGGTGAGCACCATCATACCCAGCTCCACCTTATTACTTTAAGTTTTAAAAAACATTTTGTTTTTATGTGTCTGAGTGTATTGCCTGCATGTATGTAAGTGCACCTGTGTCTTGCAATGCCTGCAGATGTCAGAAGAGGGCATCAGATCCTCTGGAACTGGAGTTACAGATGGTGTGAGCTGCCATGTGGGTACTGGGAACCCATCCCTGGTTCTCTGCATGAGCAGCCAGTACTCTTAACCGCTGAGCCATCTCTCCATCCCCTCCACCTTATTTTTTGAGGCAGCACCTTTCACTGAACGTGGCTCTCTGATTTGGCTAGACTGGCTGGTGAATGAACTACAGTAATCTGCCTGCCTTAGCCTCTCTGGCACTGGGATTACGGGCAGGTGCCACCATCCTTGGCTTTTTGTGCGGATGCTGGGGATCCAAACTGAGATCCTCATGTTTGCTTGAAACATTTACTGATGGAGCCATCTCCACAGCACCCCACTCCCTTTTTTTGAGACAGGCTCTTACTATGTAGCTCAGGCTAGCCTTGAATCTTCAAGTTTCCTGCCTCATTCTCCCCCCATACTGGGATTGAGGTGTGCATCACCACAATTAGGCTTGACATATTTCAGTATTTTACCAAAGAGGAAAGCAGAATTTCATTACTGGTCCTGCTCCTCTACTCCTGTCTGAAGTACCCAGTCCATCACTCCTCCCTGTCCAGACCCATCTAACCAGGTTTCTAGGAGGCTTGAGAACTTGAAGACCTTGAATTTGATCTCTCCAACCTCCAAGTAGAACACCGCCCCCCATGCAAGCCCAGAGATGTGCATTGCTTCAGAGAAGCATTCAGAAGGCAGAAGCCTGCATGGGAGTAGAGAGATTGTCATTCTGGCCCACTGGCCCTGATTTGGTCTCCTGTATTCCCCAGCACCCTGTTTCTGGCCTGGAGGTACTGCAAGCTGAGCAGGACAGCCTACATCTTTGCCTGTTGGGGCTAGGTCTCCGGCTACAGGACCTAGAACAAAGCCTTGGACCTTGGACACTGGCTTACAGCAGGATAGTCCAGATGCAGGTGGGAAGCCAGGATGTGGGAGGGTGGGCAGAGAGCCCTAGGCATGAGTGTAAACTTCCTGGAGTGGAAATTCAGTTTACTACACATTCTGATCTCTGGTTAGGAAATGGAGGCAGGAATAACTCCAGGTTCTGGGGATCCGATATCTCAGTCACATGTGTAAGTGTCTAACCATGTGTCCCAGGCCCTACAGGCAGAGCTACGAGGGGCAGCTGATCGCGTGGATGCATTGCTGGCATTTGGTGAGGGGCTGGCACAGCGAAGTGAGCCGAGGGCCTGGACGTCTCTGCAGCAGGTCCTGAGGGCCCTTGGAACCCACCGAGACACCATTTTCAGAAGGCTCTGGCAACTGCAGACCCAGCTGGTCAGCTACAGCCTGGTATGGCCTGCCCTGGTAGTCTCCAGCCCAGGTCCTAAACCCTTATTTCCCATGATATCTGTCCTCTGCTCCAGGTACTTGAGAAGGCAAACCTCCTGGACCAGGACTTGGAAGTCGAGGGAGACTTGGACGGGCCAGCACCTGGTGGGGTCTGGGGGCCTTGGGCACCCAGTAACCTCCCCACTCCTGCAGAGTTGGAATGGGATCCAGCAGGGGATGTTGGGGGTCCTGGGCCCTCCAGGCAAAAGATACCTCGGATACCAGGATCTCCCTGTGAGCTATGTGGCCACAGGGGGCTTCAAGGCAGCGGACAGGGCCCTGAGGTGAGAGCAGTCCCCCTCAAGTGCTCCTCATTTGTCTGGGCACCCACAGGGTACCACTCTGCCTTCTAGCATGGTCTTTGTCTTTCAAGGAGGCCTTGGTAGCTCTGTCTCTCCCTCTATGTCTAGCTCTTTTTGTTTTTTTCAGACAGGTTCAAGCTATGAACCTTGAGCACATGATCCTCCTGCCTGAGTCTCCGGCATGCTAGGATTACAGGCATGCAGCCCCATGCCCAGCTATACCCATCAGAGGTGTCACCATGATTCTCTCACTCCTTCTGTCTCTCCTTGTCTCCGTGAATCCCTCCATTTCACTCCTTCCTGTCTCTCTTTATCCTCACACTCTGCTCTTCTGTAACACAGCCACAATCCTGACCCTTCTGCGAACACACCCTCACTCACTCCCATCTCGAAGCCCCCAGATGCAAATCCAGCTCACCTCTTCCCTTTAGTCCAGTCCTACATGTCATCTCTTCAAGAGGCTGCTCTGACCCCAACTAAGCATTTCCTACCACATTCCTGACATACCACAACTTGAGAGGATACTTTTTTTGGGGGGGCGGGTCTTTTTGAGACAGGGAGACCCTATAGCCCCAGCTGTCCTGGAACTCACTATGTAGACCAAGTGGGCTTGAACTCACAGAGATCAGTCTGCCTCTGCCTCCCGAGTGCTGGGATTAAAAGCGTGCACCACCACACCCAGCCGAGAGGATACTTTTGTTATTTTTATGTAAGCTCCATGGAGACCAGAATCTTACCTGTTTCCATCCTCACCATGCCCCCAGTTCCTGCTCCTGCACCTGGCATGTAATAGACACTCATTAAATATTTGTTGAGTGAATGAATAAGTAACGTCTCTCCCTTCTTGGTTTCTTGGTTTCTACCCTTCGCTATCTCTCCAATGTGTCCCCCAGAATCTCTTCCCTGTGGCACCTCTTTCCAGGCCCTTCTACAACCATGCTGCCAGTTTTCCAAGAACCACATACTTCTCTCTCCCCACAGGACATGTTTACTTTGGGGCTCAGCCACCGGAAACATTTAGCGGGTTACAGAAGGCGCCCCTTGCTCCGGAAGCCTCAGGTGAGCTAGGATTGGTGGGGTATTGATGTCAAGTAATAAAGGTCCAACCCATATTGACTGACACACACATAAGAGGAATGTTCTGGGGCTGAGAGATGGCTCAGCAGTTAAGAACACTGACTATTTTTGCAGAAGACCCAGGTTCAAATCCCAGCACCCACATGGCAGCTAACAACTGTCCGTAACTCTGGTTCCAGGGGATCCGACAGCCTCTTCTGTCCTCCTTGGGCATTGCACAACAAGGGTGCACTTACGTACATGCAGGCATAACACTTATACACATAAAATTAAATTATTTTTTTTAAAAAGAAATGTTTTTTTCTCTCTGTAATGCAAAAGTCTAGGCATCACTAAATTCAGGACCTAAAATGTACCAGGTCCATCTCTTTGTTGGACTCTTCTTCCCTAAGGTAGCAGCCCCAGATGCTCTAGTCCCTTCCTTCTGGTTTACTCATCCTGACCTATTAGAAGTAGCCCAAGTCCCAGGCTTGACTCTACCTGACCAGCTTGGATCATGAACTGCACCCTGCACTACTAGTTAGAGTGCTTTGATTGGTCAGGTCCAGGTCACATGCTCCATCATGGAGTTGGGAGTCAGCTTCACGTGGCCCTGAAGGTCGAGTGAAGAGGAATGAAACCATCTGCCCCTCCCCGACTCAGTGTTATCAGGAAAAGGGGGATGGGATAAATGAAGGACAGGATAGACACAGACATGCACCACACTTAGAGATATTCCAAATCCATGTGGGGTTCAGGAGTGCCAGGAAAGGAGGAGAAATAAGACTAGTCCCCACTAAGTATCCTTTCCATTCATTCTGCTGCTGACTGCTGTTTACCCTCAGGACAAGAAGAGGCAAGATTCTCCCAGTCTCCCAGATGTGATGCTGGAGGTCGATCATAGGTGAGAAGCTTGGAAGATGGCGCTGGGGGTGTGGGAAAGAGGGCTCATGGTGGCAGCCCACCATATATTTAACACTGCATGTCCTTCCTCAGGGTCCCTGCGCCTGCATCCAGGTGGCCCCTGACCATCTTTCTCCTTCTCCTCCTCTTCCTTCTGGTGGGTGCCACATTGCTGCTGCCCATATCAGGGGGCCCCTGCTGTTCTCACATCCGACTGGCCAGGACGCCCTACTTGGTGCTCAGCTATGTCAATGGTCTCCCTCCAATCTGAATGCACAGCCCAAATGTATGTAATAAATAACTGCTGTCAAAAGACAAATGAGAATATTGTATGTTCAGGAACTTGGAAACTGGGGAACAGGTCTGATGTTTGGACAGCCCCTTCTAGACCTCTTTATCCTGAGCACAGAACACAGAATTGAATGGGTTCATCTTGGTTGGGGTGCCCCAGGTCCTGATACAAAGATTAAAGCTCAAGTGTTGATTGGGTGGGTGATCCTGGGAAGAGTGGTAGGGGGATAAGGATGCAACCCAGGGAAGGAAGAAAGCTATCACCGGGTGACTGAATGAGCTGGTGGCTGCTACTGGTACAATGGAGTGCCAAACGGCTAGGGATCCTGGGAAACCTTGTGGAACACACTTGAAGTTGTTCCATCCCAGAGCAGAAGTTGTAGGATTTCCCCAGGAGGTGGTCTCCCCAGCACCCCCAGCCCATCCTTCCTGTAAACACTGTCTCTCAGAAGGAAAACAGCACAGGTTGCTTCAGGAAGCTAGAGGCAGGTGTGAGGCAGATCAGGTGCTGTGGGTGAGCTGCCAACACCGAGGCCCACTTTAATCCATTCAGGAGCTGTTCCCATATTTTACATGAGGGGCCCAGACTGGGCCATCAGTAGCTCAGGGCAGCGAGACCCTCCTTCCTGAGGGTTGTCTTTTTTTTTTTTTTTTAACTGCTAAAGTCTGCCTGTATAACCCAGGCTAGTCTTGAACTCTAAATCCTTCTGCCCAAACCTCCAGAAGGCTAGGTTTAAGGGTATGTGTCCCCAGATTCCCCTGGAGTTATCAGGCAATTGTGAGCCTCCTGATGTAGGTACTAGGAACTGAACTTGGGTCCTCTAGAAGAGCAGAACGTGCTCTTAATTGCCGAGCTAGCTCTCCAGCCCCCCATTTCTGGGGTTTTGACAATACCAAGCTGGAGTCTAGTCTCCTCAAATCTAAGGTGTGGGGAAAGAGGTGGGAAGAGAATAAGACTGACGATCAGAGGTAGTCCTGCACAATGTTTTCAGTATGCAACCTGAATACAGACTCACCTTTAATTTCCACAAGCACCTGACAAGGACCTGCTGTAACTAGGTACAGATGGGAAATCAGGGCTGAGGCCACACAGGAGCAAGAGACTCAAGTCCAGTCCTCACTGACTTTCATGGAAATGTGAGCTTAACTGTGTAGGTAACTCAGAAATCTAGGACTTCAGGCACAACCCAATCCAGGGGCTCAAATGATGTCTCCATCTCCCACTTTTTTCTTTTTTGTCTTTTGTCCTAGTAGTGGCCAGAGTATCCTTTGACTATGGCCCCTCAGACCCATGTCCCTCCAAGCTAGCAGTGACTAGGGTCACTCTTCTTTATAGTTCCAACCAGAGTCAAAGACTGGTTTCTATGGCTTGGACCACATTTCCAACTTCACTGGGGACCACAGTCAGCTCTTCAGGAATCATGAAGACTAAACACCGGGAAGGGACTATCTCCAAAGGAAATTGAAACTGTTACTTGAATTGGGGAAAGGGGTGCTAAAGAGGTCTGTGAAGTAGATTCTGGAAGACTCTACATTCAGGGAAATCAGAATTGTAAACCAGCAGTGGGGGAATGCGTCAGAAAAACAATTCTAGCACTATGGGCTTTTTTTTTTCCAGTTACATTTATTTGTGTATTTGTGTGCAAACACAAACAGCACACATGTGGAAACCAGAGACAGCTTGCAGTGGTCAGCTCTCTTCTACTGTGCGGATCCTGAGGACTGAAGTCAGGTCATCGGGCCTGATGGCGACCACCTTTACCCACTGAACCATTTCATCACCTCTTTTAGTTTCTTTTTTGAGACACAGTCTTTCTGTGTAGCCCAGGCTGGTCCCAAACTCACAATTAACCCACTCAGTCTTCTAAATGTTGAGATTATAGTTGTGAATTACTCTAAGCAGATCTTAAGTACCACCTGTCTGTACACTTCCTTGCTGAAACCAAGCATTCCTTTCTCTCATCCTGCCTGGTAAATCTCATTCTTCTAACTGTGTGATTGTCTCCTCCCCATCTGATGCAGAAGGCCCATTCCCCGTGGGAACTCACTCCCTGCAGCCCTGCCTGAAGGTCCCATCCTAGAACTAACTAGGGCACAGATCTATGGAGCCAGGAGGAAGAGGTGGGATATGAGGCTGTGGAAGGTTATGGATGGGTAGAACCTCATCAGCCACTTTCAGAGCAATGGCTTTTGAGATGGCACTAGAGCAGGATTAACAGTCACTTTGGGGCTGGAAGTGCAGCCTAGTAAGTAGAGCACTTACTTGGCAAGCACAAGGCCCTAGGCTCATTCCCTACTGCAAGAGACAAAGGAAGGTAGCAAACAACAAACTAGGTCCTGTCATGGTAGCCCATACCTGAAATCATAGCACTTGAGAAGTGGAGGCAGGAGGATTCACAGTTCAAGGCCAGCATCAGTTACATGGCCAGGTTGAGGTCAGCTTGGGCTACCTGAGTCCATGTCTCAAAACGACAACAAAGTATCAAAACCACAAGTCACCTTAATGAACAAAACAGGACAAGAGAGGAACAAATGACTAAAGTCCCTGCTGAGAGCAGAGGCAAAAGCCACATGTAAGTAGTGTCACAGACTTGAGCTCCGGGGCACACCAAGCTTCAGCTGGGACCCCACATTCCTCCTTTTTGTTTCCACCCTGCCTTTACCCATACTGGTCCTCCTATTTAAAAGTCTATCCATGCTTGATATAGTAGTGCATGCCTATAGCGTTTGGAGGCTGAGGCAGAATCCCAACACTGAGGCCAGCCTAGGCTACATAGCAAGACCCTGACTCAAAGGAAACAAAAAGCAAAAAATCCTGACTACAGAAAATCCTTAAGACCACTGACAAAGATGTAAGCACACTTTCAAAGTTATTCCCTTTATTCAACAATCGTGTGGGGAAGGCCCTAGAACCATCGAGTAGGATTCTTGAGGAGTCCTAGGTGGTCAGCTGAGATCAGAGACCCGAAACGTTTTCCAAAGAGGATTGTGGGTTTCTCTCGGGTTCAGCAGGGCATTTTATTAAATGTTCTCAGCAAAAAATCTGCTTTCCTCGGCTTTACGAACAGCAAAGGGCAACCCCTCATAATGCAGGGCGTAGAGTGTGTTCTTAGAGGTCAAGAGTATCTCGGCAGGGATTTGTCCACAGGGAGGAGGAAGTGCGTCTGTGCTCTCCTGGACTTTGGGCAAGCACATCACACCATGCATGGTCCAGGCCGCTGTTGCCCCAGGCCGCCCTCATGGAGACAGGGAGTGTTTGACCTTGTCATCATATATCCAGAACAGTCAGTTATCTCTCGAGTTCACCACGCCTCCAGGCCCACAGCTCCAGGAAGGCTATTGCCCTAACCAAAGGAGCAAGTTTCTCAGGACATCTCACCTTCTAGCATATGAGTTCCTGTTCCTCCCCAAACTGTCATGTGGGACCCCTTGAGCCACCACGCGGGCTCTTCGGTCACCGTCCAACGGGTCGGGTCTTGCGTGCCCCTGTGCCTTCAGGAGAACTCCTTGGACCATCCCCATCGTCAAGGGGGGTAGTCGAAGCTGCCGCGTCGCTCGGCTGCTCAAGCTGGCCCCGCAGGTGCACGAAGGAACTCAGAGCCGTGGTGTGGCCGGAACGCAGCAGCTGCAGTTGGCGTCGTCCCCGGCGGTACAGATACTCAATGCGCAGCACATCAGAGCGCGGAAGGTTGGCCTGCTGCCGGAACTCGGCTCGCACCCGCGCCTCGGCGCCCGGCTTCCCGCGCCCGGCGCGCAGCAGGTCACGGTACAGGTTCAGAACTTGCTTCTGTAGCCGGCTGTGTCTGCTCATGGCCCCGAGGCCACCGGCACCCTCAGCAAACCTGCCGAAAGAGGACCCCCGGGAGCTCAGACCAGGGAAGCCAGAGCCGCTTCCGCCCCCTGCCATCCGGTGCCGCTGCATCCGATTGGCTGGTGCTGCAGTACATCAGGGTTCTTTTAA